CTTCCTTTACCACCTCTCTCTCTCTCTCTCTCTCTCTCTCTCGTGCGCGCGCGCGCTATCGCCCGTCGTTGCTGCTTGAGGTGTACCCGCCGCTTCTAACCAATGCTTTGCAAAGGAGGATAGGAACCGCTTCTTAGCAATGCTTTGCAAAGGAGGATAGGAACCGCAGGGGGAGAGGTCGTCACTTGGGTAACACTTAACCCGTTCATGCGGAGGCGGTCAAAACGGGGACCAACGGCTCCACGTGTCGATCCGCCGCGCGCTGCTACTTCCGTCCATCTATTCATTCAATGGAACGAGAAGTGATATAACGTGGCGATGATGTGAAAACGCAACGAAAGGAACGACAGAAAGCGCAGCAATACAAAGAGTTGGGAGAAAAGTAGCGGGAGGAAAGGGAAATAGGCAATAGGCAAAAGAGGGAAAAACTGGGGGGTAATTCGGAAAACAAGGCTTTCGGGGTTGCGGGTGGTGGGGGGGAAAGAAGGGGAATGAAGGGGTGGGTGAGGTGGGTAAGGGGGAGGGGGAGGGAGAGGGGAGGGGAGAGAAGAAGGGGAGGGCGGGGGAAAAGGGGAAGGGGGGCGGAATTACGACACAAGCCGACGAGAGGAAGAGCGGGAAAGGGAGGCAAATAATACGGTTAGTATGATGAGAGAATAGTAGAATACCCTTCCACGTGATCAATCAGCTAATTAAAGGACACAGAAAACACAGTAGTGAGTCACGTCATCACTCATTGTTAAGTGATGTAATTAATGTTTTGTATCTTTCCATTCACAAGCTTTTGGTTCCTATTTTCCACTTTTGTTTTGGTTCACGGGGGGAAAGAGTGTTGCTCTCAATACATCTTTTTCACCCCCGGCCCCCATAGTTCCTTCGCGTCTCTCTCTCTCTCTCTCTCTCTCTCTCTCTCTCTCTCTCTCTCTCTCTCTCTCTCTCTCTCTGTGCCCCATAACACCCCTCCAAACAGCTACCATTTGATGACAGGGACTCTGCTAGACAAAAAAAAAAAAGGAATTTAGGCGAGGTAAGTCGATCGAGGGCAGACCATTTGAGAGGAAAAACATATATATATATATATATATCCATTAAAAAATAAAATAAAAACGGAGCGAGTGACAGGCTGTTTCGTCGGACTCACACCGACTCATCAGGAGGCTGAACCCTCGACAGTCTACAGAATGTCTTTTTTGCGGGTTTTGATTTTTTACATACTTTTTTAGATTTTTTTCCGGTTTTGATTTTCTCTTTTGGAGTAGAAAATGTCAATCGATGGTACAGAATCAAGGTGGGACTCCACAGCGGCCGAGCCACGTTGAGATCCAACCATCGCCCTTTCTTTTCTAGGTGGACCTCTTTCATACCCAGCCACGACGAGAATCGCCAGCAGTTGGGAAGAAGAAAAAAAAAAAAAAAGCGCAGACACCTCGTCGGCAGAATCCCACACACTTTCATAATTGCCACACCCTAGTCCATCCGTTGGCAAACCCCATCTCCACGTGCTGCCCACTGTCTGCCCACATCTACGTATCTGCACACGTGTCTGCCCACATGTCTGCGCCATGCGTCTTCCCACGTGTCTGCCAACGTGTCTTCCCAGGTGTGTGCTCACGTGCCTGCCAGAGTGTCTGCCCACGCGTCTGCCTTGCGTATCTGCCCACGTCTCTGCCCACGTCTCTGCCTACGTGTCTGCCCACGTGTCTGCCCGCGTGTCTGCCCGCGTGTCTGCCTTACGTATCGGCCGACGTGTGTACCCATGTGTGTTGCCCACGTGTGTACCCATGTGTGTTGCCCACGTGCACTGACCTTATGGAAGGAAAAAGGAGAAACTACCAGCTTCACCCGAACAGAACGCCGGGTCATTATCACTATGCAGCTATAATGACCGGGCGTTCTATTCGGGTGAAGACGGTAGCGATGGATAAAAAGTAATAATACCCCTTTTGGCCATTTGACTTCGACGTTCCTGGCTGCAATTTCGGCATTTTTTTAGCCGAATCGTCGGGATTTACCGGGTTTCCCCCCCCAGTAAGACCTGACAGTTTCGGTTCAGGAAACGAACAAATTTGTGGCTAGACCTGTCATCCACGTGGCTGGCCTTGTCCGTAAGAAGTGATGAACAGTTGGGGCTTTCCTTCTGTTCTTCTTTTCCTTTCCTTGTTTTGCTTTTTTTCGCCTTCGCGCTCTGATTTACAGTGTGACAATATAAACTCCGACGAAACAGTTTGTCACAGCCCCTCGTTTGTTGTCCTCTTCTCTCTCTCTGCCTACGGTTTACCGGGCAGTTCTGTTTGTGACGATATATATATATATGGTTGATTTTATGAATATGAGACCCACACCTTGACACCTAAGATTCCATAAGGAGTATATATATATGTGTGTGTGTGTGTGTGTGTGTGTGTGTGTGTGTTCTGTGGCTACCTAACTGTCGCTCTGTCTATCTATCTAGTATCTATCTATCTATCTATCTATCTATCTGTGTGCTTGCATCTACCTTTCTATGTGGCTGTCTATAGGCCTCGCTCCACTACTCGCCAAATGTGCACAATGAATCTTCCACTAGAACATGGAAATACACCGCTGTGATTAGCGGAGCGAGGGGCTATGTATCTGTCTATCCATCCATCTATCTATTTGTCTATCTGTCTACCTATCTGTCCATCTATCTATCTATCTATCTATCTGTCTATCTATCTATCTATCTATCTATCTATCTATCTATCTATCTATGGGGCGCGCACACACACACACACACACACACACACACACACACACACACACACACGTAACACACACACACGTGCACAGTTCCCCTTGCTTCCTTGAGCTTTATGCTTCTGGCCCTCTGTCTTGCTCATACGCACACTACCATCTCGCCTTTTCTACCTGTCTTAAGCTCTCCGACTGAAAAACATCGTGTGTCTATCAACGTGCAGGACAGGGAGATGCTCCTCTGTCCTAAACCGATGTGAAGATACTCGACGTCGCGGGACTACAAGATGAATCACCCCTCTTCGCTGAGTCCTGAAAAATGCCCTGCAGCGGACTGCAAGATGAATCCCCCCCTCTTCGCTGAGTCCTGAAAAATGCCCTGCCGCACTGTCCATGAGGGAGACAATGCCAGAGAAAGAGACTAGCAATCCCCAGCAACACCGAAGATGACGTCTTTTTCTCTTCTTTTTTGTGATGGCGATACTAATCCCGACAGAGAAGCGTCAGACGAGAGCTGAATTCTTCTTTTGTTTTTCTGTCTCTATCTCTCTCCTTCTCTTCTTCTCTTTTTGCCCTCCTCTGATAAAGTGTTTTTGCTTTTTTTTCCCGCCTCTCAGATCAAGTTTCTTTCTCATTGAACCGTGCAGGTTTTGGTTTGAACCCTCGTCCTCCTCTTTTCCTCCTTTGATCGAGTCTCCTCGGGCATATTCACATGTGCACTTTTTTTACCCCTTTCTGGACGGAATTGCGGCCAGATGCTATAGGTCCTACCCTAAATGCGGTCATATACATTTGCGATAGTGCTACTGTTGAGTACGCCCCGCCGCTCAACACTGGAACCTGAAAGATGGTCGCCCGCATGCTTGGCGTCGTCGATGTCCCTCGTAGGGACATCGACATCGACGGCCGTCCCGCATGTGTCCTTCGTCTCATACCGAATCTGATCGGTCGATCGAATCGCACCATATTTCCAAATATATCTTTCTTTTTCTTTTTTTCTTTTTTTTTTTTCTCTTTTTTTTCTGTTTTTCTTTTTCTTATTTTTCT